TTTGCAGGTGTGTGTCGGTTGCGTCATGGTTCGATAGACCGAGGTGGGGTCAGTCGAGAATCACGCTAGTGAGCGACGCGTTCCTGCCGCCAATTCTCACGATATGCCATCCATGGCGTGATATGTACCTGAGCTGACTGAGCGGGAGAATGGCAACCGTACGACCTGGATCTTTGCCGGTAAGCTGAATTCTACGGCTATGTTGATGCCACCAGTTCGTGTGCCAGTGCAGGACCTCTCAATATGATCTCAAGACGCCGGAAGACGGCGGACAGCATGCTTGCCAGCCTCCACTTCCCTTCCGACCCTGGCTTCGGTATCGGAACTTCATCCGAGCGGATAGTGATCTGCGCAAGCATCTGCAGCAAGCTTCCTGCTCAAATATTTACGTGCAGCCTGGGCAGACATTTGGGGTGAAGCAATGCTGGCAGACACGGCCGTCCTTAACATGTAAACTCCAACCAAGTGGATGTGTGAATGCGTTAGATTGCTCTATATGTTCATGATCTATTCCTCAATGCATTCCATAATCTCCCTCCGCAGCAATGGTCCTCTGGCATTCAGCGAAAATAGCAGCCTGCCTGGCTACATCAGCCAGTCGCCCAACGACTTGCTTGTTACCATCCAGGAAACCGTATAACGCATACGGTATGTCCACCTCGTTACAAAACTCCTGCACCAATTTTTGGGTCTGCCTCAGATTGTGCCGAGGGATTCTCGGATACAGGTGGTGGATAGCCTGGAACTGCAGGCCACCATGGAAGAAATCCAACCATTGCGGGCAGTCAACATCCATCGTCGTACGAAGCATCTTCTGCGCAAAGGATTCATGGATACCCAAATCTGCCGTACTCATAGCGAAATGAGACAGCGTGATCTGCACGTGGAGCGGCGACGTAACGGCGTGGGCAATCAAGACGAACCAGAAGCGGCTCCAGTTGTCGGGTATGGTCTTGTACACGACTCCATAGCCGAACCAAGTCCAGTAGAACGACATGCCCACCATCTCGAAATATCGGTGCCACCAAGCTGGTCCTTTCTTGGGCCCCTTTCCAAGGAGCAAATACATCCAGGACAGTCTGTAAAGATTGAAACGCGCTACCATCATGATCGGGTAATATGTGTAGTGCTGTAGCGGGATCATGACCTTTGCGAATGCGTCGTATTCCATGGCCCACTCGTAAAAAGTTGTAGTGAGACTCTCCATGAACCGGTGAGTGATAGCGAAGAAAGGAATGTATTGGATGTCAGGGTCGTGTTCGGGATGGTTGGTAACGAGATGGTGAACGTTGTGGCTGTATTTCCACCAACAGGCACTTAAACCGCCCAAGTAGGAGGCGATGAACATTGCGATGGTCGAGTCGGTCGTGAAGTCGTGCGTAATACCCATGTGTCCAGCATCATGGACTGTGAACGTGAGCTGGTGCCAAAAGCACGCAAGTGGTATGGCACTGGTGATGTACCACCCCTTCGTCAGCAGGAATATGAAAGCGGCTAAGAAAGACCCATAGCGTAGGCATTCGATACCGTAAGCAGTGTAATTGCAGTCGTAGAGGCCTTCTTGCTTTATGCGCACTTGCAAGTCGCGGTATTTTTGAGTGATCCGATCTTGAGTGGCCGGGTCCAGGGACGGGTATTTGGCCTTGTCGAAATCCAGCTCTTCTTGAGTCCGCCTGTCAAGCACTGTCATCTTCGGAGTGACCTTCTCATCTAGTTCGACTGATGAGACGCTTGAGCTCGAGGAAGCCCTGGTGACATCGGCTCCGTTGCGTTTGCGGATTGATGCAGACGGCCGATCAGCTGGTTCGAAGAGCGGGCTGCTGTCTGCCGAAGAGGCTGAGCTGGCGGTGTCCTGCTCTGAAGAAGAGCATGATTCCATGTACTCCTCCTCTGAGAGTCTATCCAGCTCTTCCTGTGTCCGGAACTTTCCTCCCTGTATCGGCGGAAGGAAGTTGGTCCATCGTCCTTCGATACGGCCGACTTGGTAGCGATTCATGAGCTCGAGCGTCTGCGCAGAGTGGAATCTGGGTGCACAAGTCAGCATTGAGCTTTTCTAGGCAGCCAGGGACATCATACCGAGTGACTTCATCTGTGGCATCTCGTCCCACCATGTGCGCGATGGCCTTGTCACCGCCTGGGTGATAGGGCAGCCATGCGTCCACCTTCAAGACCTTGCCGTCTACGATGACAATTGAGCGTCCATTGGCGATCTGGGCCTCGATCTCTCTTCGACTAAAGACTCTCGACTTCCTGTCTGCCCGGGCGGCCATGTTGCAGTGCGGTGTGGTACACAAAGCGTGCACAAACGGGTGTCTAGGTGCAGGCTCAATTGACGAACGAAATTCAATGTACAGACAATCAGGCCATTGCCTCGCGGCGTCTCAGAAAGAGCTAGGCGTTGCGGTGAGCTGCGCCGGAGCCAGCCAGTGGAACAGGAGAGCGTGAGCTGATAAACTTCCGAAGCTTGCCCGTCAGGACCCTGCACGCCCCCACGTTCCTCGCCACCCCAGAGCCGCATCCAGCAACGACTTCACATGTCAAGCTGAGAGCGTGTGTAGCCCTGCAGCGCCGTATATGTAAGTAATAAGTCACCAGAATCTACACGTGAGCTTCGAGAAATTTCAAAGTCTTGGAGAGCATAAATGCGGCAGGTGCCCACTTGAGCTTGCTATTGCGCGCTTTCTGTCGGCAAACTCCGACACTCCATCACCTTTTACTTCGTGACCTTTCTCTGCCAAGTGACATTTGTTGACTTCCACTCTCAATTCCATCCTCTCTTAGGACAAATCACACCGCTCCAGGCGTCCCCCAGAATTCGAGATTCCAATCATGACCCGCGACATCAAGGACTTAGCGAAAGAGTGGCTGGAGCTCGACGAGGACAAATCAACGACAGATGAGATCTACAAATTGTTGGTGGATGGCGATACCGATGAACTCGAAAAGCGACTTCGACATCGTATTGCCTTCGGAACAGCTGGACTCAGGGGGCCCATGCAGGGCGGCTTCGCCTGCATGAACTCTCTGACAGTAATCCAGGCTTCCCAAGGACTAGCAGCGTACCTGCTGAAAACCGAGAAGAACGTCCAGAGAAGGGGTGTAGTCATTGGGCGGGATGCGAGACACAACTCTGAAAAGTTCGCCAAGCTCACCGCAGCTGCTTTTGTCGCAAAGGGCATCAAGGTGTGGTGGTATGAGGACCCGAGCCACACGCCGATGGTTCCCTTTGGCGTGCGCGAACTCGACGCCGCTGCTGGTATCATGATTACTGCAAGCCACAACCCGGCCAAAGACAATGGATACAAAGTCTACTGGTCGAACGGGTGCCAGATCATTCCCCCACACGACGTCGGAATCGCCGAATCTATCTTGGAGAACCTCAAGCCTGTCACTTGGGACACGAGTGTGATAGAGTCTTCACTTCTGGTGGAAGGAAGTCTGGATTTGGTACAAGACAAGTACCACCAGGCCGTCCTGTGCGCCGCACAGCCCGAGCATGTCAAGGTCAAGATGGACCCAGAGCTCAGATTCGTGTACACGCCGATGCACGGTGTTGGACTTCCCGCCATGCAGCGTTGCGCAGAGACACTTGGCGTAGCCTCGCAGATGGTTGTGGTGGAGGCTCAAGCACAGCCAGACCCCGACTTCCCTACAGTAAAGTTCCCAAACCCTGAAGAAAAGGGTGCGCTCGACCTGGCAATCGAAACGGCAGAGAAGTCATCGATACGCCTGATCCTCGCCAGCGATCCCGATGCAGACCGACTTGCGGCAGCAGAGAAAGTAGGTGAGAAATGGCATATTTTCAGCGGGAACCAACTCGGAGCGCTGCTTGGATCTTATCTCTTCGAACGCTACCCGGCATCGAAACCGAGAGAAAAGCTCGCAATGCTGGCTTCTACCGTCAGCTCCAGGATGCTCGCAGCTTTAGCGAAGAAGGAAGGTTTCAAGTTTACCGAGACTTTGACCGGGTTCAAGTGGCTTGGAAACGTAGCGCGCCAACTCGATAGCGAGGGCTACGATGTCGTGTACGCCTTCGAGGAAGCGCTGGGATACATGATCCCGCAGACAGTACACGACAAAGACTCCATCAGCGCAGCCGCAGTCTTCCTAACCGCGGCATCGCATTGGTCCACCCAAGGCCTGACACCGTACGCCAAGCTACAACAACTCTACCAATACCTTGGCTACTTCGAAGACGCAAACACCTATCTCGTATCGCCATCGCCGTCCGTAACAACATCGGTGTTCACAGCTATCCGCGCACTGGGCAGCCCCCACCCCACGTCGATTGGCTCCCGCAAGATCGCGCGCTGGCGAGACCTGACCCTGGGCTATGACTCAAAGAGCAAGGACCACAAACCCGATCTACCGGTTGATGTTACTAGCCAGATGATCACCTGTGAGCTAGATGATGGGGCCGTGTTTACAGTCAGAGGCAGCGGGACGGAACCGAAGATTAAGCTTTATATTGAGTGCCAGGGGAAGAGCAGTGAGGAGGCGAACAAGGGCGCTGATGGGATTCTGGAGGATCTGCTGAGGGAGTGGTTTAAGCCTGAGGAGAATGGATTGCGGCTGGCTTAGGGTGGGAGTATGTTCATGGATTCAGATACTGCTACTATCACCGAGTTGGAGCGTGAGAGGGCATCTTGAACACAATGCAACCTTCTCTTGTAGAGTCGAAATGCTCGTGCGGTTGTTTTGCGATTGTATGCTAGCAAGCACACTGCTCATTAGAAGTTCTCACCCGTATTGAGGATATCATCATTCTCGGCGTCCACTGTACTTCCACCAAATTGAGCTATTGCTTTACAACAGACTCACCTTCACCTAAACTCTGCGGGCTAAACCCTATCCTCCACGACCGACAGCCTTTCTCTTACCTCACCCACCTTTACCCATCCATCCGCCAACATACCACCCAGCTCCCTTCTACTCAGTCATCCTCCCTTCTACTCCCATCAGCACTCCTCCCCATCTACATCCACAACCCCACCCACCAAATGGCCACCCTATCAACATCACCCATCTCCGCTCTCTGGGTCTCCTGGACAGACATGGATAAACTCGTCGACGTCGAAATCTACAACTCACCCCAAATGACCAAATGGACAAAGGCCCAAGTCAAATCCCAGTTCGCCTCCAAAGACCTCGCTCCCATCTGCTGTCCCCACCTCCGCGCTTCCCGCATCCCAGAAGCCATTGTCGGAATCAATAATTCGCGGAACAACGCCCCGGCTATGCAATACTACATGGCAAACAACAGGTTCTGGCTCGCACACCGTATTTTATTGCAGGCGCAGTTCCAGTCTGCGGTGAGGTTTACGACGGATGAGTGTTACTATTTGCTGGAGGAGGGGGAGGCGGTTGTGGAGGTTAATGGACGGCCGTTGACGGGCGTGGAGAAGGGAATGTTGGATGTTGAGCCGGGGAAGGTGGATATGAGGTATGTGTTGACTGGGAGGAAGGTGTGTGAGAGGTTTTTACTGACTTTGCAAGTGAGCTGCAGCCGACGGAGATGAAGATGCATCTTGGAGTTGCGATGAGGATTCCGCCGTATACGGTGCATTGCTTTAAGGTCAAGGAGGACAGTTTGGTTACGGCCGGGTGTATTGTGCCGAGGGGAAGGGAGGAGTAGGGGAGATGGGCTTTAGAGAGACGATCTGGATGGTAGACTTGGGAGTGGACATTTGACGAGGAAAGGCGGATAAGCGGGACTGGATGGCCAGATGGAGTTTGAAGAATGAGTATGGATGGAGAGCTTTGCTAGAAATATTGGATGGCAAACGTGGATGAAGAGATGCCAAATCTGGTTGGTGGTCTACCTAGTTCGAAGGATCTTGATGTCCAATTCTCGGTGTTGGATACACAAAGCGGAGTATGCCATCCAAGTACTATACCCAACAGATAGTCGCTAGTACCATTACACGATCAAGATCTGCAACCGCACGACAAACTTGGAACCTTGGAAGACACCCACCCAACAGTGAGAATAGTGGGTGGGTGCGTAAGCGCTGCGCGGCCTGGACGTTTGGCGGGTGAGATAGGCAAGAGATGGTTGCACCCTACTCATAACAAGATGGGACGAGCGCTCGGCAAATAGTTGTATCTCCCACGCCCTCCTCAGAAAAGGTCGAACACCTCCTAGCTAGCCTAAACTTCACAACCCTACAACGCCACAACAACAACGTTCTAAAGAAGTAAGACCTTACAGGAATAACTCTTCTCTATACAAACTATAAGGAGAAGAGTTTAGAAAAAATCTATAGCTTTTTGTTCTTGTGTGCAGAAGCTTCGGGGATAAACACGCGTTCGATTTTTTCTGAGAAGGGCGTGCTCCCAATCTTGAAACTCATATCCTCGACTAGCGCCCGCCTTCCCGATCGAGACCTTGTCAGATGCAGCGCAGACGCAGCGCAGACGACAACTAGTCACATACGGTTCTGCCTTGTACAGATGGGTCCATGGCGAGGCTGATGTCTGGGTCGAAACTTGTCGCCATGCGCAAGTCTCCAAGGTCGGGCCTGTTGGAGGTGCAGATGCAATGCAGCATGCGCGACAGTCCTCCGTGAGTACTGGCCAATGAGGAGCATGTCTAGTCGATTAGGAAGGCGCCATGTATAGTGTTGTTGCTGCCTTGACAAATGGGAGTTGAGCATGTAGAGCTGGGGAGGATGCGAAAAAATCGCTTTTTCTCAGAAGTATCAGGACTACGATGGAGGGTTTACTTTTTACCCTTCGCCGGCTGCACATGGCGTTTATAGCGTCGCTGGATTCGACGGCTGGGTAGCAAACGGCCAGGGTGTTCGGCCGGATGTCAGCTAAGCAGGGGAGGCGGAGGAATGCGTGCCCTCGGCCAATCACGTGGGCGTCGTTGTATCGATAGGCCTGTCCCGCGCGTACCCAGACTCCGGGGAAGTGTCTGAGGCAGCCGTGACTAAACCGCTGCGGGCGGCGTGCATGCGTGCTAAACAGTCACGGCCCAAAAGTATCCACGGCCTCTTTCCCCTCGTGTGCCCACCAGTTCTGTCGCGTCCGTCGCGTCCTCCCAGCTGCGCCCTGTCCGTCTATAAAGACCCGTCGCTCCTCCCCTCGACGTCGCCTGGTTTTCGCAGTCTGCTCGCACATTCTTCGGTACGCCCTCGGCCCCACCAGAATTTCCCTTGGAAACGTGCTAACGGGATGAAAGCTTCAACAGGAACCGCGACATGTCTCTCTCCTAGACTGTTCGCGTCCTATGCGGGATGCGCTGCCATCAACACCAATGGCGGGGTTCGGCGACCCAAATACTCATGTCACGCGACAAAGCCATGGTTCGCCGTCGCAACCAACTCCCTCGAGACGATCGCTGCCAGACGGGCCGTGCAACTATCGCGACGCGCATATAGGACAGTGTGGATGTGACCAATTTTGGGACAAGCTCAGCGCCGAGCTGCATGATGAGAGCGCCGACCATCGGCCTAGCAGCGAGCGCTCCACGTGGTGTGTTTGCGGGCACCATGCCTGCTTCCATCTGAGGGTGACGCGTGCGCCAGAGAGGCAGGCGCTGTCGATGAATCTCCCGCTGCCACCACTGTATGCGACAGGGGAAGAGCCGCGCCAATTGCAGGCAAGCGCGCAATGCGACACGAGTGCTGCGATGCGACAGCTGGGGGACAACCTTCTGTCTGAAGGGGGTCAAGCCATATACAATGCGCGCATGCATCAACACTCCAGTCCTAGCCAGCGCCCCCAGCGACAGCCCTCCGAGACCAACTCGTTTGGTCGCTTGCTACAAAGTCAGGACACTCCATCACAAATCAGCACGAGCGGCCTTCCTGGACTTCCCTCCGTGTGCTTGCTATCTCATGAACGCCGCCCAGTAGCTAACAGCGAAGCTAGGTATGGCGTGAATCAGTCGCGCCAGACGGTGGCAGGTCTTGGTCTTTCGATGATGAACTTGGAGAGCATGGCTCAGCTTAACCGTCAACAGTCGCCTACATCCACTATTCCCGATGACATCAACGTCGCCCACACCCCGCGAAAGCTACCCAACGAGCCCGTCATCTCCCCGGGCAGAGCGAACATCACCAGCCCATCGCGCGGCATCCTTGAGCAGGTACTTGAGTTCAATCGCAACTTCCAGCCCGACGAGCCTGGTGATACCATACCCAACACCTACAACCCCGAGGAATACGTACAAAGCGCTACCGAAGTGGCTACTCCAAGCGTTGGGAACACTCCAGATCTGAGCGCTGCTGATCGGGCTGTACAGGACGGGAAGGACATGATTGACGCAATGAAGCGCATCACCTCGGAGATCCAACAGCAATCGACTAGCTCACCTGAGCGACAGACATATGGCACAGTTCCCACCCAGCTCTTGCCGAAGAACGCTACAGCAGGTCCACAGGAACAGCTGCAAACCCTCCTCCAATCGGCTCCACCACAAGGTCTCCAGAAGCTTGTCTCCTACCTTGCCCCTCTCCATAATCTGCTGAACTCGATACCCAATGTAGCCAAAACCATGCAGGAACTTGGTAGCCGCCTAGACTTGCTGGAGAATGGATCTTTCAACTACGTTCAGCCGGAAGATCTTAACAACACCTCGGAGATGTACGAGGGTAGGTTAATTGACGTGGAGCATCGCATGGATGAGCATGAACGCATGCATGAAGCTATGGACGAGCAAAGTAGCACCAGCTCCTTTGGCCGAAGGCGCATCGATAACGCCACCACGTCGTTTGGCTCCAATCACTCTGTTGATTCCAGCACTTCCTCCGCCCTTATCCTCGCGGCCATGGATCGCAAAGATACAGAAATGGAGCTTGATAACATCAAAGAGAGATTGGATGTACTGGAATCCGCGGCGCCACCCACATCGCTCCAGCCTTGGGAAGTTGAGGTTGTCCTACTGCCATGGGGTCCGGACTTGAAAGGCATCTGGTTCTCGCCTGATGAACCCATGCATGACATAGCGAAGACAACAACCCAGAACTCTGAAGAGTGGACCCAAGCACATACCTTGAAGACTATAAAAAGCCTGCCATTCCTCGGACGAGACTCCGATTCGAGCCCCTACCCTGGTGCTCGCAACTCGGTCAGAGGATCTATACCTAGCCAGGCCGACAACGGGTGGAGTAGCCAGGACATTAGTAACTGGGCTTCGGGATCTACGGATGACTGGTTGTTTCCCAAAGCTTGTGGAAGCAACAACCTAGTCTACAAGCGACTCCAAAGCAGGGGTTTTGTCCGAGATGTTACGTTCAAGGGTTCCAGCGCCAAAGATATTCAAGAAGCTTTGTCACATGCATTTTCTGATGTCTTCGATTACCTGCAGTACGACGACAGCGACGAAAACCCTATGATCTCTGCCTACCCAGGTCTTCGAGCGCCCTACATACCACTTCGAAAAGTACTCAAGCAGTCGCGACTACGTTTTCTTACGCCCGCCGAGATGTCCAGCAGTGCGCTCTGGAATGCTCAGTTTCTCTCAGCCGGTGTCATGATGAGAGTTTCCGGTGGAAAGAAAAGGCTTTACGTCACCGTCCGCGAAGCCTATACCCAACAAGTTGATCGCAATGAGTTCGTTGTCATGGAACAGTCATGGCCTGAGCTGCGCCAATTACCTCGCTATCAACCCGACCAAGACTCGCAGATGGAGGGCAACGACGAACAGTGCCAAGCGCATGTCCCTGAAGCGGATGCAAAAGAAGCATGTTGGCAGTTCGTCGAGACATACGATGCTCCGCCTGCTAGTGTGCATTCGTCTTTCGGAAGCAATCAGTCCGTCCAGCTCTCCATGCGCCCTGCTGGTCGAAATTGGCGACGGTCAATCACTCCCAACTCGATACTGAAGAACAAGCAACCCCAGCCCATCTCTCCACTAAGCGAGAACCATCCACAACGTCCACTCTACTATCGCAACCGTACGGTATCTGCTTCGGTCGTCGATACCGTAACACCTCGTCAATCAAAACGCCGATTCAACCCCTCCATCGTTGAGCAATCCTCTGCCCCGCAGGTAATCTCACGTGCACCCAGCCTGCCGTCTGCGAGGCTGAAACGCCGTCGCGTAACGAACTCCTCATCCCCACGACCCGAGGAAGCACACGTCACGATATGGAACGCAACCCCTCGGCAATCACGAGAACCGCCGTCACCCTTCTACTCCTCACAGCCCGCACTACCACGATCGAACTCAGACGTCATGAGCAGACCAAGTCAGCGGTCCGTCGCCATAGCCGGTAAATCAACGCCTTTCGCCTACGCAACACCACACTCAGGGCCCTTCCCAGCTGGCCCTGGCTTCAACGCTTACAACAATGGCGGAGACACGGAGCCAGATGACGACAACGACGCGTATGATAACGATGACGGGGAGAAAAGCTGGCGTGGCGTCACCGATGACGATAATGACCAAGACAATGACAGCGCTTCGAGCTCGGTCCTGAACGCCGAAACTGGTGCGCAAGAGGGAGCCAGTTTCTCGGGCGATGACAGCGGGTTCGGCAGTGATAACGGAGAGGATAGCGATGCGCCGTCGGAAGATGGGGGAGAAGTGTATGCGCAGCGTCAACATGGTGAAGAGGATGAAGACGAAGACGACGAGGATGTGTTTGACTCTTTGCTTAGTATCATCGAAGCGTAGATACGCGAGGTTGATATACGGATGATTTGGATTACGTCATCATATCATGCAAGAAGAGCAAGGAATCTGGATATCCGAGTTCCAGCTAGGAGCATTTGAAGAGAAGCACACACACACATATTTCAGCATAGGCGTTCTAAGGCAGGGAGACCTTGTACTATATTGCTTCCATCGTACTTGCAGCGTTTTGTTCTCCGTTTTCGGAACCTTGTTCTTTCGGTTCCTGGTTAGCGGGGTGTGTCTTTGTATACTACTAAAATTGGTCATTGGGGTATGTTTATACGGTTAGCATAGTGGTGGTGGTTGTCAACACCTCTTCTCTCTACACTTATGGAGGGTGAGCTGGAAAATGAATATTTTACATTTAGGGTTTGCGCATCGGGCCCTTAGTGCGGAAACTTTTATTTCATTCTACAATTCGTAATGTAGAAGACACTACGTGCACCTAGGGTCCCACATAGCCAAGGGTTGAAAAGCTCATTTCTCTATTCTTGATGAGAGACTGGAGTCAATGCTGAAGCAGAGTCCATAACGGTAGTAGTAACGCAGTCGTTGACACAGTAAGGGCTATACCCAGCTCATGTGACGCAGCTTACTTCTACATACGGTCCTGACTCAAAGTCGATCGCAAAGACCAGATTTCGGGAGACAACCTTCCAAATGAAGATCTCACATCTGGCTCAGGATGTAGACTCTTGTGCTTCACCAGCGGCAAACTTGATGGTGAAACCAACGGCATCCTGTAAAACGGCGGTCTCATCGAAGATATCGAAGAGGCCAACCCAGAGACCCACATTCTCCTTAATATCAAGACGCAGGTTCCTCGCTACCTTGACGAGCTTCTCGCGAGGCGTGGGAGCGTCAGTCCACTCCAGAATCTCTGGTACCAAGCAGACCTTTCTGAGTCCTCGAAACAGTCGGCATAGTTCTGGTGTAATGGAGCACACAGAGCCGAACCATTCCTGGCTTCGATATCCATCGCCGATGGAGATAGCGGGGATAGCGTGGAGTTGGTCGGAGGTGAGTTGCTTGACGAAGAGCTCCGTAAGAGCAGGGACGTCGAAGTGGAAGTAGTTGGTCTTGTACTGGAGCAGTGCTGTCTCTGTATAGATCTGGCGACATACACGACTGACGGTAAAGATGTTAGAAACGCGGGTGGAAGCATTGCCTTTGAGAAATCCGTCCAATGAAACACCGCTGTCAATGTGGTAGCGACTGTGGTAGCCACGAGTAAGCAGTTCTTTGGAGGGCTTCGGCTGAGCGGCGGTGGCGAGACGAAACTCAAGCTGTTCGTAGGAGTAGTCTTCAGATCGAGTCCATTTATCCTCATCCTCATAGTCATCTTCATCTTCGTCTTTATCTTCATCTTCATCTTCATCTTCATCATCGCTTGATTCGTATATAGCGGCCAGAGGGACCAGATTGACAGTGATGATGTGGCCTCCCACGGCGTAAGCGAAGATCTTGTTGCGAAGCTCGCCAGGGAGACGAAGAAGCGGAGATTGAGTCATGTTGCGGGTGGCACTAAGCGTGTCAGTGATTAAGATATCTTTCAGTATGAGCCAGGTTCCTTCACTTACATCTCTGATACCGCATTGGAGATCTCAGCATTGATAGACGACATCTTGCCGTTATGACTGCGTGTCGAAGGTCGCAGATGCAGTGGTGGTGTTTAGAGTTGAGGAAACGTGGAGTGATAGGGCAAGAAGGAAGGCGCAAACAAACAAGAGCACGTGCATAAACTGATGCGGTGGGTGACCGCGTGTTTGATTAGCGTAGTGTCATGATCTTTACCTGAAATCGCATCTGAGTATGCGGGTAACAGGTAGCCCAGAAGTCCATCCTGCTACCAAAACTTACACAGATGGTAGTCCGTACGTAGATACTTTTGTAAGCTACAGAGTGGAAGCAGCCCCAAAGACCTGCCGCAGTCGTTCAATATCTTCATAGTACAGCATAGGTGTGACACAGGAAACTAAAGCTTCGTTTGCATCGCTACATATTGCTGAGATTCGTGTTGCGCATGAAACATGATGATACGCTCGTGACGTCATGACATGTGAATGTGACAACTGCATATGCTGGGCAACCTCTAAATTCCTCAAGACGTCACTTATGGTAATGGAGGCGTGTACATTAAAAACAATGCGATTTCATCCGTATCGAGAGAAAGTAGCTTTACTTCTCTACTACCCTACTTTACATTAACCTGATCATATTTACTAGTAATCCAACATGCAGTCCGTCCTCCACAAAGTCATTGGCCCGAAAGAGGTTCACCCAGAAAATCTCGACGGTCGCGTCGCAGTAGTCACCGGCGGTGCACTCGGAATCGGGTACGGCCAGCCTCTCCTCCCTCCTTCCAACTCTTCGCTAATACACTCAAAGATATGAAGTCAGCCGTGCACTCGCCCTCGCCGGCGTGAAAGTCATCATGGTGAACCGAAAAGAAGAGCAAGGCGCCGATGCCATCGACAGCATCAAGAAAGAGAAGGCCGACGCGCAGGTCGAATGGAAACACTGTGACATGGGCAGCCTCAAGGAAGTCAAAGAAGTCTTCTCCGAACTGCGCAACTCGCTCGACCGTCTCGACTTTCTTGTGCTATCTGCAGGTATCAACACGAACTTTTACGGAGAAGACGCGGACGGTATCGACCGCCACTTTGGCGTGAATTTCCTTGGCCACTTTTACGTGTGCAACCAGCTGTGGCCGGTACTACGCAAGACGGGTAAGATGGGCACGAAGCCTGCGCCGAGGGTCGTCTTTGAGTCGAGTGAGATGCATCGTACTGCGCCGTCGGACGTGCACTTCGCGAGCATGGACGAGATCAACGATAGCTCGGTGGACCCCACACGGTTGTATGGACGCACGAAGCTGGCCATGATTCTGTTCGCGAAGTACGGTCTGCGTGATCGCGTCATCAAGTCTAATGGTGACAATGTATACGCTCTCTCCGTGCACCCAGGCGCTGTCAACACGGCTATGCAGCAGCAGTGGAAGGACGCGTATCCCGGTATCACCGGCAAGTTGTTGTCAAATGCCATGCTCTTTGCTGGACGGGATGTTGAGCAGGGGTCGTACAGTGCGCTTTGGTGCTGCACCGCGGATGAGATTGAAGAGAAGGATATGAATGGGTTCTACTTCAACGACCCCGTAAGTTGCACTTAACAATTCTATTAAGCTCAATGACTAATATGTAACTGCAGGGTCAACCAGGCAAAGAGACGTCTCAAGCCAGCGATGAGAACCTCGGCGCTGCGCTCTGGGATCTGAGCGAGCGCATCATCAAAGACAAACTTGGCCAAGATGCGCTAGTCGACTGGAGTGCGAAGGAGTAAGATCGTGCTCAGGTACAATGTGGGCAGCTTCAATTACGTCTAATCTCGTGCGTAATGTGTAAAAGATTATCATTATGGGCGTGTGGAAAACATATCCTATCCAAGCTTACAACATCCTGAGAATGGAACATGATATAATGACAATGACTCCACCATCCTAAGAAACATAAGGCCAAACCCCGCGTTGAGGATTCATGACCCACTGCGACCTTCCAAGTTCCCGTGAAGACATAAAACGAAGTAGACCTTGACAGGATGAAGACTCCCTAACCGCATCATCATCGAGCAGCTCTGGATGCTCGTCGACGACCATAAACACCGCCTCCCGCAGATCGACCGCATGCTCAGGAAGGTCCTCGTAAACCCACAAGATGGCGTCAATCATCTCGGAATTGGGATGGTAGTATTCCGCTGCTTCCTGGAACCTCTTCGTACATAGCGCCTGTAGGTCGGGTACTAGGTACTTGTCTGCGACTTCCCAGAGCTGGAGGTGTAGCAACATGTGGCGGGGTGTTGGGGTGTGATAGAGCGCTCGGCCTGAGCCCTTTGGCATGGCATGGAGTATCCTCTGTCGTTTCTGGACAACTCCATCGGGTTGTTGGTATTGTGATGTTTGAGTTTTCCGTTCCAGTGAGGTAGTTGAAAATGTAGTGCCGACAGTTGGTGATGCTTCTCCGTGAGGCAAGCTCGAACTGTCATCAATACTGTAGGGGCAGTTTTGAGTAATGTTTTCGCTGCTGGCATACATGCGACTACCATGACTTCTGATCCATGACAGATCTTCTGCACGCTCATCAATCTTCCAGGAAGTGGCGTCGTAGTCGCGTTCATGAAAGAACTCAATCATGAGACTGACCATGGCGGGATCATCATCATGAAGCGTTATGATGCTCTCGGAAGCCTCTTTCCCAAATTTTGTCGCGCGCCGAAAGTATTCGGAGTAGGGAGCGATAACGTTGAGATCGACAGTATAGCTATCAGCGCCGAAGGCTATAGTGAAGTTGAGCGACATGACTCTGGGGTGTAGTCGTCTCGTATAGGAGTTGAGGCTTGCTTAGGTGTGAATGGGCGAAGGTGGATTAGCAGTGATTGTCAGTAAGTGGATATACCCAGTCCTTGCTAGAGTGTTCACGTGCGTGAAAAGGCGATGACAGACAAATAGAGTATTCACTCTGTCGCTGACCACGTGAGCCGTTTGCCTTAGGATTTGACATGAACTTACGATGTGGCCACTTGGAGTGAGAGAGGCCGCACATCGTGAGATCAAGTTTGCGATGCGGCACTGAGCCAAAGACCTGGGGTATTTCCTAGATTTTGCAGTTTCTGAGCACCGACCCCTTGCAAAACGTCGTCCAGCTGTCGATAAGTGACAAGAGGCGCGATTCTTTCATAGATCATGAAGTATGGATGTCGGTGGGAAAGAGACGTGTCCAGCTACGAGTCTTCGTAAGAAATCGAGCATCTTATGAAGTCGTGTAGACTGGATGTATGCTCGCTGGCTAGAGGACTGGTGCTTGGGAGCAATAACTAGGTCTTGAAATCTTTGCGTGTACCTCGACCTGATTGGAAGAGATAGCTCCAACGCAGCGCCTAGGTTTCAGCACCCAAGGCCGAGAATCCCGGCATGGGGAGATCGTATTGACCAGCATGGCGTGGGTACAACATACTCCGTGCAGACAGCCTAAACATGCAACGAGGATGACCCGGCAAGGCCGCAGCTGTGGTGTTCCATGGCAGGTGGCACGGTCCGATCGGCTAGTAACGCGAGCATGTCCGAGAACGAGAAGATGTTCCGAAGGCACGGCGCGGCGGGGGCGCAGGGTCGTAAATGCTGTGTAAGACCGTCCGGTGGTGGGCTAGTGACCGGTGAGCAACCCCACCTCCGCTCCATGCAGTAGGCTACAGTCTACAGCCCTGTCGTGTTCGACGCTAGGGCTGCAGCTTCGCCACACAGTTGCCACCGTCAGCTTGGGGTCCGGATGACAATTCCGCGAGACGAATGGCTCAGCTTGAGCGTATTCTTGCAAGACTGAAGCTGAATTTCCGATCCTTCTCCGTCGTTGGACTTTGCTGTTGCGTGTTTCTGAGCGCAAGAACAGCTTTTTTCAATTTTAACAGCTTTTTGTTCTCTTCTCGTATCCCCAACTCGTCCGCACCCTCCTCGAGTATGACTGCAATGAAGTCTGTTTGATTCTTTGCGACAGCGTGATCTAGCACGGAAGCGGGTTTGGTGTCTTTGGCGTTAACGTCGGCGCCGTGCGTGATGAGAACACGAGCTATGTCGACATAGCCACGCTGTGCTGCGAGGTGGAGGGGAGCGCGTTGGTGGTCCCCACGGATGTTCGCAAGAGTCGCAGGCTCTGGATGCTGTTCCAGCAGTGAGCGAATCTCTGCAACGAGGGCAGGTTTGTCCTTGCATTGCGCCACTTTCGAGTGAAAGACTTTCCACTCTTCGCTGGGTCTCGAGATGCCGTAGATTTGTTTGGAAAGAATGCTTTCCTCCTCGTCGGATTGTGTTAAAAGAGCGCTCGAAGAGGAAGACGAGACGGAGAATCGCGGGGCCGATGTGGTATTGGACGCTCTACGGGGGTGTACTGGATCTGAGACGGTTTCCGTATTGGAGAGCCATCGATCAAGCAAGACAAGTTCATCTTGAGCTGGATGATTCTCTTTGCCGTCATCCGTCATGGGTTGCTGTTTGGGAGTCAGTACCATCTCTCCTATGAAAGCGCTCATGATCATGCTTACTGGCACTGCGGTCTCGGAAACGCGGCGAATATAGGATCTGACTTCCCTGAATCGCGTTAGCAATGTAGAGATCCGAGGTAGACGTTCACGAACAAATATGAGCAGGCTCCAGTAACAATGACAATGTCATTCAGGTATCGTCGAATGTCTTCCACCGCGAGCTCAACATCCTTGGTTACTGCGTCCATTCTTCGTTTCACAGTGGCCTTGTCAAGAAAGGTCTCCGCACTTTTACTTTGAGGTCCCAAGTCCGCTATCTTGGATTTGATCTCCCTGAGACGATCGCGACATAGCGTGATCTTCTCACGTACCAAGATTGACGGCTCGCCGGTGCCATCAGGCTCAGCTTGATGGTACTTCGAGTTGATTAAGCGGACAACACTATGCAACTCCGTTATCTTTCCCAGGAGACGGTCGGCCGACTCGTCGATTTCCCGCACGGCGTCGATGTAGTTTTTGCAGGCTCGGACGATAGCGAGCCCGACCGTTGCGATGGTAATTATGCTTGAAACCGGCTCGGCCATGGTCGCTTGGGTTCTGTGTACGTTGGCCCGGCCTGCTTTAAAGTGGATCGCTGGAGAAAGTCTAGGGCCAGGTTCTGGTGTTACACAAGGATACCATATGATAGTGCAAACGAAAGCGCAACGATCGTTACGTATGCGGCATCGATTTCATTTGAAGAAGTCCTCTCGCCAGGCGGCTCAAAGATCAAGAAGGGGCTTAGCAGGACGCGTGCAGCCTGTTCGTGGCCAAGGGCGAAGACAGGTAATGTGAGAAGCACACGTGTGAAGTGAGTTGACGTAAGAGTCAAGTATGAACAGTCAAATGCGCTATGCAAGGGTTGGCATTCGTCCGATGCGTCAACGGGCCGGGGCAACTCCACACGTCTGGAGAAAGCGGATGGCGGGGGAAGCTCGACAACCACACTATCACAGATCAAGTAGGCAACCGCTTATGTGCCGTCTTTGTAGATCCACAGCCTCCCTTACCACGCTACGTTTCGACTAGCCAAGCGGGCTAAGGGGACAGCTCATATGTCGGGGAGTTCGTCATTCGGTAGTTCCTTTCGTACTTTGGCGATTTCGCGTCAACACGCTCATCTTCTCAGATGGAGATCGAGGGGTAGAACGGAAGTTCCCGCGATTGCGCGTCCTAGCCAGGCAATTTCAAAGCATTCTGCGAGGCAGAGGGCTGAGTAGAGGACCAAGGTGTCACCAATAAATCCAAGGTTGCAAGGTGATGCAATGGCTGACCCTAACGCCAGATGCGGATTGGTGGCGCGTGATGGCACTTGGAGATGCATGCGTTAATTGGCTGAAATTGCACCAGACCCATGCCGCCTGAAAGAGGGCAGCGATGCATGCCAAAAGCAAGTGCAAGGCGGCCAATCCACTGAGAAAGAGATGATTATCAGAACGTGGACCTAATGCTCAGCCCCTTGTCTAGGAGCGTCTGTAGGTAATATGGCGGTGGAGGACCGCGACAAGACAATCAGTATGCGTGATCTGTCTCGCCTTTGGAGAAAGCCTGTCAGCCTTGTAGGGCTCAGCCCGATGAGGAAAACAAACATATATGGTTATGCTGGGGCGCGTTGTCGCACAATAATTTCGGCCCCTAAGCGACATCTTGTTCGGAGCGCTGACCAGTATGAGCGAACATCTCCAGGAAGCAGCAGCTATTGGGGGAACAGTAGGAAATCGAGCCCTATCGGCAGATCAACTGCCATCAACAGGCGCAAGACAGACGTAAGCAGATGAATCGATGTTTACTGGCGGCGACTGATTCCGAACAGCATAGATAATCCGTTCTTGACGTTCGATGACACGATTCCCGACCCCAAGACTCAACGGACCGAGCTCGAAGATTATGTCTGGGAATTTGCTTTGTTAGCCGGTCTCAAAGACCGCTATGAACTGCTTCAGTTCGGTGCTCGTCTTGCTCGAGACGAACACGAGGCTATGGGAAGATACGCAGATGAGCTTACGGAGCCCGAGAAAAAGCTTTTGGAGAAGGAGAAGGAGAAAAGCACAGGGTTTTGGAAACAGTCCAAGTTTCTCCGCGCAACAATCATGACCGCAAGTCTGGCCGGGATGATCCAGGGATGGACGCAAAGCGCCAATAACGGCACTGCTCATGGCATGCCAGAAGACTTTGACCTCTGTGTTCACAGGGACGCCGATTGTTCTTCAGCCAATCTTTGGACATTCGGAATGCTGAATGCCATACCGCTCCTTTCCGCAGGCCTTTTTGGTACCCTGCTTGCAGATCCACTACAGGAGAACTTTTTGGGGAGGCGAGGTAGTGTGATGCTGTCTTGTACTATCACAATAGCCTCGACAATCGGAGCATCACTTACGCACAACGTAGGCTCACTTGCAGCCTGCCGAGCCGTCAACGGGATAGCTTTGGGTGCAAAAGCGTCGATAGGTTAGTAATAACACTCGCTCGTTGCCTCAAGGATGCTAAGCCCTTACAGTTCCCATATATGCGGCTGAAATATCACCAGAGCATATACGAGGCGCTATTCTGGCGAACTGGCAGCTTGCTGATGCAGCTGGTACGTCTTTCCCCATGAAGTGGCCTAACCCACTAACTCGATAGGCATCTTTCTCGGATTTCTGGCAAACTTGCTGGTCGTTGTTTACGTGGAGCAAGCGAAGTCCGCGTGGCGCATTCTCACGAACACTGTACTCATCCCAACGGTACCTTTGTTGGTGATGATATACTTAATGCCGGAATCGCCTCGGTATCTGATGAAACACGGGGAATACTGCAAAGCACTCGAGGCCTTCGAACAAGTCCAGACCACGCGGCTGCTAGCGAGTCGCGATTTCATGTATGCGCATGCTCAGCTTGATTTCGAAAGCCGACTCTTGAAGGGGAAGACAAACCAGCTTGGCAACCTGGCCGATCGCATAGACATTAGCGCGCAAAGCTTGTCCAGGGAGCCATCTTCGCTACCACCGAACCATATACAGTTAGGGAGGATTGCTTCACAGAGTGCCGTATCGCCAGGTCGATCCACCCTAGATCCTCATGCCGAGATAAGGAACTCAGGCGTAACAGTGGTACCGAGCAACAACCAGTACGAAATCAGGCCGCAGCTCGAGCAGAACGAGGACAGCAACATCAAGCTCGCGACTATGAACAGGAGGTGGAGTGATGTCACAAGCCTGAACTTCGAGGTTGGGGCCAGGCGAACGAAGAAGAGCAATCCGTACTCTTACAACATCGGTGTCAACGGTTACTACAAGCGTCTGAGGGAGTTATGGTCCAACAAGCGGTGTCGACGAGCCTTATTGTGCGCTTCCGTGTCCATGATCACCCAGACCCTGACAGGCGTTAATACCATCGCTTTCCTAGGCACGATAATTTGGCCCGACGCCGAGAGAACCAGTGGTCAAACAGCCGAGAGAAACAGTGATCGAACAGCCGCGACAATAGGTCTTGCCTTTGGAGCAGCAAATTACGTGTTCGGGCTTCCAGCTTACTGGTCTTCGGATCGATTAGGACGCTCCGTCATGCTTTTGCTCGGCCTGCCAAACATGGCATGGTCGATTCTAGTCTTTGCCTTTCTCTTCAAGATTCGCGATCCGTCCGTTCAGATCCCCATGGTCAGCATCTTCGCGATCATCTTCGTTGCCTTTTATGCCCCGACAGCCGGTACGTCTCCGTTCTCGATCGCAGCAGAGGTCTTTCCTCTCGTATCGAGAGAGGCTGGTATGGCCGTTTCCGTTGCGGTCAATCTCCTCGGCGCAGGTGTATTGGTCCTAGTCTTCCCATTCCTGCAGGACAGCATTCAGCCGACGGCTGCATTCTCCATCTTTGCAGGCCTGAATATGGTGGCATTCGTACTGGTGTATTTGTTCGTTCCGGAGACGAGAATGCGGACCCTGGAAGAGCTGCAGTATACGTTCGATTTGCCAACGGGATGGCACGTCGCGTATCGTGTGGGGTACATCCGACAGCATGTCTGGGCGAATTGGTGGAAGTACTTGACTCGCAAGGAGGTTCAGCCACCGGTTCCGTTCTACGAATGGGCGCGAGAGACGTATAGAGAGATGGAAGGTGCCAGCTGATTTATGTGGAGAGGTAGGCGTGGGCATGTTTGGCGGAGGCGGATCGCGGAGGTCTGAGGCGCGACTGGACGCGATCCCCTTCCGCCAAGCAAATGACGTATCAAGGCTAGTGCGAAAGACCTCGGCCACCAACTGCACGCCCGCATCTGAGTATTGAGTGAGGAAGATATGTAACCAAACAGCGCCGTGTATCACAATAACATTCCGCAACCACGTGGGCTTCGCACCATATTTGCTCGTTGAATATTCCAACTCGTAGGGCTGTTCAAACTCGGTGTTTGTATCACCACATAACGTTGAAGCTGCGCTGAGCGCCAGTCCAGCGTTTGTCGGGCTGTCTCTCTCACCCATCGCGTCTTAACCCTAAGAGTCACGGTCCTGGGCTAGCGTCAATAAAATCAAACGCGGCGTACGCAACAAGATCTCTCATCTACCTTCCTAACCCAATCTAATAACAAAAGTGTGATATGACGCCACCTGAAGCAATCGCGATGACGGTCCCGTTGGAGGCGATGTAAGTCACCAAAATCGAATCCCGTATCATACTAATAAGATGTAGCACCTTTCGCAACCAGACCGAGTCACCTCTACTTCGACTTCCTGGGGAGCTGCGCAATCGTATCTACGAGTTGGTTGTTGGCGGAAACATCATCTTCGTATCAGGTATGCTCCAGCGACCGGAGAAAGCATTGGCCGATCTCATGACCCCTGGAGTGGCCCAAAAGAGTACCTGGACATCTGTTTCGGGTATTTTTACCATCGGTCTTGCATGTCGTCAGCTACACCGAGAAACAGCTCTCACCCAGTACACAAAGAACGTCTTCCACTTCGACGACATGCAATCTGGTCGAGCTTTCGTGAACGGTCTCACTAGTACACAGCGAGCGCTACTCACGTCTATATCCGTCAACGTCGTGGATTACTTCAGCGCAGATCCCTCATGGGACCTTATGTTAAGTATGTGGAGCTCCGTGGTAGACACCGACATCGACATGTTCTTGCCCGAGCTAGAGATTGTCTATATCAGTGCACAGGACCGGACAGGCTCTTTTCGGGCGAATGAGGAAGAGGTACTTCACACAGTTGGGCGAAAGCTGAAGATCGGTACATCACGCAAGGAGGGTGTCTCGCTTATGATCCTTGATGTGTTCCGAGGAATGGAGAACCGAGATCAAGCGAAGACCATCAAACTGAGTTGGAACGGTGAGGCGTTCGTCTGATTGGTGTTTCTCTTGGCCCGACACGGCGAGATCCAGTCGCTGCAGATGGGGTATGCATTACAGATGGCCATCGGTTCTTCTCCTACATATGGAGTGCCCTCGAGATAGCCAGGCTGACAATGGGATAACTCATGATTCGATCGTGAGAACCATGCTTTATAATCTGTTCTCTGATGATCCCACGCTTCCCTTTCCATCCTACTTCCCAACCACCAGCACCGAGAGGCGTCCTCTCTTTCAGTTTCACCTTTTCTAGCTCTTCGAAGGTCATAGAAGAGGACGAGTCAAATATTGCGTTAACAGCGTGCCAGAAGAGGACATCTGAGTGACTCCATGGGATATCGTAGTCATCTTCGGCGTGTATTAACGTGATGTCATAGTTTCGCTGCTTGCCGTTGACTTTGATACTGTCCAGCCGGTGAACGAGTGCTGCAAGTTTCTCCTTGGATGGAAATTTGGTGATGATAAATCGGTTCAGCAGGTTCATAAGCGGTGGAAATATTGCGAGAGGGGAGAGCAGCGGGAGGGTGCGAGCAACCTTGTACGTCCTGGTAAGTGACTCCACATCGGCAAATGGGGCGACTAAGACGACTCCCGCTAGAACGACAGGAGTAGGCTGTGAAGCCAAGTGATGAGTGAGCGATAAAGCTACGGCAGTACCCATGGATTGGGCGAAGACCACAATCCTTTCTGGTGGTATACCCGCAGTATCGGTTACGAAATTGAGCAAGGTAAGCGCATCAGTAAGAAGACCCGATTCCGAAGGCCACCCAGTGCTGGTACCGAAACCGCGATAGTCGATAGCCAGGACATGGAGGTTGGTCGATGTCGCGCTCATCGCCCTGTAACTTTGTGGCCGCCACCCAGATCCCAGTGTGCCTGCTGCACCATGCAGATAGATGACTACTTGCGCAGTGGGATCTTTCAGTAAGTGGAAGGAGATTCGGTCTTCGACTTTCTCGCAGAGTCCGACTGGCTCCTCACGGAGTTGGGGTTGATGTTGGCGGTATGTCTCCAGTGGCAGAACGTGCCAAGCATGTAGAGTCTCACCATCTGGCGTCTTGAGATGGAACGGTGTGACTTGGTTGCGCAGAAAGCCCCATTGCTCGGGTACGTTGATATTCTGATTCCAGGTTCGGGTTACTCGGTGCAGGAAGATGACGTGATCCTGTAGAGTCGGGATCGTGAGTAGCAAGACGAAGCCGAGATAGAACCCGATGAGGCCAATGAAAATTGAGAGAAGAAGCGTAAGCATGCTGGTGGCTATACACCTGGTCTATCTCGAGCTTGAATAGTCCAGTCGCGGCCAGGACGATTTGAGATTTGCAGTAGCGCTAACCGATGTGGGGTAAGTGGAGCATGATGAAGACCGCCACATGTTCGGACGTGTGCAGTCCTTCATGCCATATACACTTCTCGAATGCTAGAAAGTTAACAACGTTGGTGTTGAGGACGCGTTGCAGTTACGCGCAATTGTCGTGATTTGGGGAATGACCAATCGGGCCTAGCTCAGGGTCATTGCCCAGGTGCATGTGCCGAGGTTTGGGCCAAGCAGAAACCTCGCAAACGCGTCAACTCCGCGCCACGTCCTCTCTCGCGCTCTATGTAACAGAAGCCCTACACTATACTATGGTTGTGACAGCTTTCTGATACCTGCCATGCTATCTAACTCATGCCAAGACTGATAAAAGATCAGCGGCATGTGTGGACAAACTCTCACGGACGCGCTGCATCATATACAGCGAATGGCTGGTATGGCAGTATCACTTCAGACATCGCTAACGACCTCGCAGCTCCGGCGCGTAATTCCATCCAAGCAGAATCGTCTACGATATCAGTTTGACTCTAGACTCGGTCCACGCAACGTTAGCACATCCAATCATATCGCACACGGCATGTACGCTGACTCCCAGGAAGAGGAAGGCACCACTGATGGCGACTCTGGTGACTGGACCGATCCCGAAACCGGCAACAGTGTAGAAGATGATGACAGCACATGCGAACATAATTCCTAATTCGTCATGGGCCCTAGTAATACGGTGAATCAGGAAGTTCCACGTTAGAAGAAGAAGATGCATCGGTGCTTATACAGTACGCACGGTCGCAGCACGCATGTATCAAGCTTTTACGGGAACCGATATACTTCCCTTACCGATGAGGATATTATGCGCATGCTCAACCTGAGAGCGTGGAACGTCATTTGAGCTGACCCCCCTACTTTGCTACTTTTATTCTTGCAGTGTACGAATGTCCTCACTATTCACTACTCTTTACGCAACTGAATCGGCCCTCAAACTGATTGAGTATATCTAATATGAATGAGTTGCGAGGGAGAATGTGTGAGCAGCCACATGATCGGTGACCGTGTTCCAAAAAAAGCTTAGGCTGATGGTTGCTGACCACACCTGTGGAAGTGGCTTTACTATGTCGCTTCGAGTGTATATATGGACATTTGCATCGTCGAGCGATGAAGGTGCGAATTCCAACCCCAAGTTCGAGATACTGCCACAGTCGACATGGGCAACTCTGCACCAAACATGCAGCTGCCAGACGCAGCGACCATCCTCCAGTCCGTTAACGCTACGATAGATCATACAGCCTATTCGTTCTCTACTTCTGGATATCAAGTCTTCCTGTCTGTACTTCGCACCCTCCTTATACTTCTTTTTCTCTTTGTTACATACCATTGCTTTCACTACTTCACATGCGAACTTCCGCCCTTTGGATCGGGCCTCAAAGCTCTTCCAGGTCCGCGTTCAACACTTCCTTACTTGGGTCGCGTCCACGATGTCGATCGCATGCAGGCTTGGACTTCAATGCACAAGTTCAGCAAGCAATATGACGGACTATTCTCGTGCACGCTGGGTGGCGAAACACATATCTGGGTCGCGAGAGAAGACGTTGCGCAAGATTTGATGGTCAAGAATGCGGAACTGAGCTCGGCAAGGGCAGACATAGGATCTTTTCCAGGGGTGACGCAAGACTTCTTGTACTTGCCTCTACTGGGGTACACAGGTACGTCTGGCATTCCCAAGACTCGCGTATGAGCCTGCTATTGACCTCCAATTTATAGATCACTTCCATCGTCAAAAGAAGTTCGCAAACGCAATGATGACACGGGCAGCCAAGAACCGATACTACGGTCACATCCAGCTTGAGATGAAGCGCTTTATGCACGAGCTCTCTCAAACTCCACACGACTTCTTCACCCTTACCCACCTCTTCTGCGCCAGAATCAGCTCTCGCCTCGCGTACGACACCGCCGATCGCGCAGTAGAGCACATGACTAACGCCGGCGACTTCATCTCCCAACTCGGCCCCTCTGGACCCATACCAAACCTCATGCCGTTTCTGAGATACTTTCCTGAGTGGATGGCGCCGGGTCAGCGTGGAGTACGGGAACGTCGAGAAAGAGAAGCAGCCTTGTGGAAAGATGTGTTCGAGGTGGCAAAAGCATCGAAAGATCCATCGGACTACACCACCGCGAGCTTAGCTACCAAAGCTATTGGCTCCGATACCGACCTTCTTTTCGCCGATGAGGAAGAGGCCATCGCTGCAGTCGGCATGCTCTGCACTGTCGCGATCTATACTATTGGCGGACCGGCGACGCTGTTCGTCATGGCTATGATTCTGCATCCGGAATGGCAGGAGAAAGTACGCCAGCAGATCGATGAGGTAGTTGGGAAGGATGAGATGGTGGACTTGAAGCACAGTCCCCAGTTACCGATCTTGAGGGCAGCTATCAAGGAATGTGTGAGATGGAAGAGTACTGTTCCACTCGGTAAGTTCCTTCTTCCCTCTGTATCCTAAATTTCGATCTGTCCCAGAATCCATACAGCATGAAGCTGACCAGTCTTCAGGCGTCCCTCGCCTACTCTCGAAGAACTACACCCACTCCGGCTACCACTTTCCCCGCGGCGCTGTCGTCCACGTCCTCGACATTGCCATGTCTCAAAACCCCACCACCTACTCCTCTTCCCCTCCCTCCGTCTACGACCCCTCCCGCTGGCTCGACCCCTCGTCCCCCAATTTCAAGTCTCCACTTACCGAACATCCACGCCTGAAGGGCCATCATATCTTTGGGAGGGGCAAGAGAGTATGTCCTGGCCAGGACCTTGCGGAGGCAGAATTGTTGGTATTCTGTGGGAATTTGGTCAAGAATTTCGATCTTGGGAAGAAAGACGGAATAGAGATTGGGCCGGACCAATGGACACCGCATGTCATCGGGGGACCCTTGCCGTTCCCCTGCGAGATCAAGGCGAGAGATGGTGAGAGGGCAGGAGTGGTTGGGAAGTGGTGGGAAGATGTTAAAGGGCAGATGGAGGCGTGAAGACATTTTCGGTGTTGGACGCGGATACGCGTGCTGTTCTTTCGATATACCATACCATCTTATCATACCCCACGATTCAACCACTGACAATGCCCCAAGTTAACCAGGTGTCAATCGTCTTCTTTCTCTCCAGCAGCCTCTCCTCTTCGCTCTCATCATCGTATGCTGCCACTCCTCTCCTCTCCTTTGATTCTGCTGTCTCCCTTAGTAGGGTGCTGCCGCCATCCCTCAAAAGCTCATATGAACGAAACTCCGCGTTCGACCATCCGGTGGCTAGTCGTAGATGATCAGCAATCGTCAAATTAATGCAGCGATTAAGTGACTGCAAACCTTGTGCGCTCAGTGAGCCCTTCCAGTCATCGGTCAGGAAGTGTAAGAAGCAACCATGCGAGACCACAACAATGTTGTTCTCCGGCCTGTCTCGAAGCCATTGCCGAGCGCTTTCGGCTCTAGCGAGAAGTGAAGCACTCGTGAGTGATGCGTCAGTCTGCCATACTTGGTAAGCCTACCCTACACTGATGGTTGTTGGAATGCTGGATCAAGATTTGATGGTCCATCTGCCTACTTTCACTTGCCAGCCCTCTTCTACGAGGCCGAAGTCCGCTACGGTGTTCTCAAACTCTTTCTGAAGAGTTTCGACATCGCTTCCAGTGTCGCAAGGCAAGTTGCTCGCTTCTTGCAACGAGGGTAAGGCGATGACTTGGACGCCCCGGGCCACTTCTGGCTCGAATCCTAATGATGCGGTACGAATGGTTCGTCGTAGCGGTGAAGTGACCACGAGCTCAACTTCGCCGTGGTACGGAAACTTTGCTGCAAGCTCGTGGCATTGGCGCTCGCCATACGGTGTGAGCGATGGATCTGGAATGTTGTGGTTGCTGTAAGACAGATTGTGGACACCTTGCGCGTGCCTGACGCAATGAATGATACGCGCCACTATGCGCAGGGCAGTAGAATCAGTTTTTGCGCAATGTTGTTTTAATGGCGCGCACTCACTCGCACATCAAGAGGGCGTGGTAGCAGAACTCATGCGACGAGAGCTGAGCGAGAGATGGTGCGCTGCTGCATGATCGGTGGGCGAGTGTGCAGCGGGGCTGTGCTGTCCGCCCCATATCATCTCAGTCGCACCGCGCTCCCACCTGAGTACTTTCCTTTATCTCAATCTCGCCCGCACAAACTAACTTCGAGTCTTGGTGCGAAGAAACACCGAAATGGAGGGTTCTAAGCCACCTGCCAAACGTCGCAAAATCACACCGATTGCAGGTGACAGGCAGGTAACCAGAGCCAGCCTTGCACGCGCCCAACAAGATAACTCCACACTACCCGCCTACACCTATCGAGCTCTCAAAGAAGAAGACGAAGTACGCCTATTCAAAGTCGAGAAGATAGGCTCGGACGAATGGCAGTACGACATCGAACATACAACACTGGACATTGCGCCGTACTTCGAGACCGTCTCGTATGTCTGGGGTCCGGATACACGCAGAAACGTTCTACGTCTGCGAGATGGTCGAACGATACGCATCAACGACAACCTCGCTAAAGCGCTGCCTTATCTCTCGGCGGAATGCAAGACTGGATATCTGTGGATCGATCAAATCAACATCAATCAGTCTAGCACGCAGGAGCGCAATCATCAAGTCAAAATGATGGGTGATATCTATCGCAGAGGGCAAAGAGTCCTGGCGTGGCTGGGTGTCGGCCCCAAACTCAACAAATCAACTCTCGCCCTTGTCGAAATGGTCCGCTCTTCGCTTGAGGTTCGCAAATGCAATTTTGATATACGTGTGAGCATCGAAGGACAAATTCACGAAAATGGCCTCGGAGACGTTGTGGCGATACTCCAACTCTTGAAGAGCGAATGGTTCTCTCGTGCATGGGTCTTCCAAGAGATTGTGCTCCCGAATCACGCACTTTTCCTGCTCGGAGACTTGACCTTACCTTTTTTGGTCCTGTTTTTGATATGCTGGACAGCCATGCTTGCTCCGTCTGAAAGCAACTCTGAAACGCAGCTTCGTTTCCCATCATCTTTTGCGATACTTCCAAGAATGCCAGTCCAAGACGTCACCTTGATACGACGCTATCAGTCGCTCTACATAATGCACCGCAGCTGGTGTGCAGAGCATGATAGTTGGGGTAGCTTCGGCGGAACCATTCCTCTCACTTGGCTACTTTCCACAGTCTCGCCGTTACTACAAACGACAGATCTGAAAGACTCAGTGTATGCATTTCTAGGGCTACAGCCCTTGAGAGATGGTTCTAAATCTATGGAACCAGACTATGATGCCCCTTATGAACAGACACTTGTCAGAGCTGCCACGTCCATCATTCGAGATTCATTGTCGCTTGATATCCTTGCATACTGTGACCGAGAGAAAAGCGACGAACGCCTGCTCAAGCCTTTGCCTTCGTGGGTTCCGGAATGGAAAGCACCAGTCACAACACCACTTCTCATACGATCTACTACTGGCTTTCATCATGCTTCTCAGTACCATTCTTGGCTGGAATCTAAAAATCCTCTCGAACTGAGGGTAAGAGTTATACGTATCGACACCATATCCACTGTGTTCGCACTAGAATTCAGCTACCAGTCGGCTAACTGGAGAGACGAAGATCTTGAAAGATATCTCGCACTTGATGAGAGACTCATGGAAATACAGAAGCACGTGCCATACTGCTCTCGTGAGCGTCTCTTAAGTGTTATCTTGACTCAAGAGCATCGGCCCGATTTTGCGCACGAGGATTATCATGATCAGGAGTACAACCATAGCGTCGAGGAGCATCTAGAAACCTACGATGAATATATACGCGAAGGTAGAGAAATGGGTCCGGCAAGTGGGACTCACATTCTTGACGAATTACGTAACCAAACTTATCTTGTCAACACCAAACATCTCTTTTTAACGGAGGATGGTTCCATTGGATACGTAAAGCAACCGCTCATAGGTGATGAAATCTGTTCGATCAAGGGGTGTCCAGGTTTTGTCGTTTTGAGACCTTGCGGAGGGGATCGTTTCACTGTGGTAGGAATTTGCTCTGTAGAACTTCGGTCCGGGGAAATTCACCCTGATTTAGGTACTCAGCCAGGTTATTTGTACTCAATTTGGAAATGCAACGAGGGAGACGAGTACACATTGGTGTGATAGCATATTAAGTAATGGAGAATGATCTATTCGGCCACTTGCCCATTGATTTTCCAATAAGTCAGCAATGCTCCGCCCTTTCGTGGTGAAGATGGCGCAACTTGAACATGCGAAGAACAGAGGTAAAGAATGTATGAGCTCTACAATTATTCTCCATTATTCTCATGGTATATTGCTGCATAAAAGTCATTACATTAATCTCAGTCCACCCATTTCGTGAAATCCATTATTTCCGTCTCATCAATCATACATCAAATCGCTCTAGTAGTAAGTGTAAACAGGCGAGGCAGGAAGAGTGCCAAAGTCACCAGAACCGAAGGGGCTGCTAGGAGAAACCTTTCCGCCATTGACATCAGAAACGCCGAACCAAGCAAGCTCACTGCACTTGCTGACAGTGATAACAGCGAATGCGGGCGCAGGCTGCGCGGTGTATCCCCAAGAGACGGTCAAGTCAGTACCGCATGACTGGCTGGACCAGCTCTCGGTAGCAGCGTTGGAGCCCGGCATGCGGATAACAGTGCAGTGCTCGGTCTTGCCATCCGCGGTGAAGTCGAAGTTGTAGTCGCAGCCCGAGTTTCCGTCGATGCAGTAACGGCTCAAGTTCGAGACGGTCCATGTCTTGCCCTCAACGGGCTTGGGGCTGGAGTTTGGGGTTCCGGTAACCGCGGGGCAAGGGGCTGCAGTTGGTGTAGGGACAGCGGCTGGCTGAGACCCCGCGGATGGGGTAGGGCATGATCCTGGGTGGGCAGGGTTGCAACCTCCGGGAATGCCAGAGATGGATGAGAAAGTGGCAGCTGGGGCAGAGGTTGGTGTGGGGCACGATCCGGGGTGAGCTGGGTTGCAGCCGCCGGGGATACCGTAGATGGAAGAGAAGGCCGCTGCTGAAGTTGCTGTTGAGGTCGTCTTTGGGAGGAGGGCGATTTGAGATGAGCACCATTCGCGGATGCGGGCGGCGTCTTCACCGTAGCAAGCGGTCCGGTCGCATGAGCAGATAACCTCAGCAGTTCCTGCGGCGACGCACGAGTCGTAGGCAATTGTGCATTTGTCCTCGCGCATGCGGAGGGTGGGAGATGCTGATGCAGCTGATGCTAGGATTAACGCGATGGCGGCAGATTTGGCGAGCATGTTGGCGAGAATGTCTTTTGGGTCTTGAGTGCAGTGGAAATGTATAGAGGGTGTTGAGGAGATGCTGGTAATTGTTCTTGACTGTCGATGGATGATGAGGATGCAAACAATTGGAGATGCGATGGCTGGACTATATATTCTTCATGTACATGGCCACCACGATGTCATCCTAACTGTCGGTAGTAACGGAGTGTGATCGGATGTACGGAGGAGGAACAGCTGATCACGTCCTTGCTTAGCCCTGGTGCCATGTTGTGGCTCTCGTGAGGCTCTCGGAGAGGCGATTGCGATCTCATTCGCTCGAGAGCGGGACTTCTACGACGTTCGGCTCTTGTTGCGCCGCAATACGAGGCTCAGTCGCATGATATGACGATATTGCGCTTAACACGAGGAACGTTTCCTGGTTCAAGGGTTTTTTTTCGATAGTTCGGATGCATCCCAGCGAGGCTTGATGGGCAGCTAACGACTAGCCGCTCCATTATTAGCAGCCAACTTTGGAATAGCACCTGTCAATCGAGCTTGACGAAGCTTGAAAGGTGATCGCTTCGGCTGTCATCCGAGCAGCGGTGACAAAATAGGACCAAATTGCAAGGTAAACCTGTACTCGATGTCACTTTTGGGATGCACGTACTGTCTACCCGGGTAGGTCCATGTGCCGAATACGATGTGGCCGGAAGATTTGTGAGTTTGTGACGTGGTTTTCGGCTAGCCGATCGTCTCCATGAAAACAAATCCCCGCGTCCGGACACTCCGCTTCAGACCATCACAAACAGCGCTCCGTTGTTGTCGCATTCCTCGGAGGCCGCGATTTGGAACGTGCTGGAGGGCGAGGCTGAGCTGGCACAGTCGGTGTGTGCAAGTGGTAGTCCAGATCCTAGTCGCCAAAGGCAAGTCCTGCTAAGCTTTGCGGACAATGGCATCGAGCCTCGTGCGCTTTCATCTTTGGCTGGAATCTCGTCGCAACTTCCTCTCTCTGTGTTTCGTGCTATAATTGATGAATTCAAAGTTCGTGGAACGGTGCTGCAAGCAAACCGTCGGCGATATAGAATCCAGTGCATGTGTTGTAGGCGAAGCCTTGTGTTTTCACAAGGAGTCGTTCTGTTTCGCAACGACGTGATGTGGTGCGATTGAACAAGAGAAAAACAGCAAGAGCTCCCTCCGAGCAGCCTCACTCAGGGCAGTCGCGCTATGTCGCACCGGTCCTAGCGCTGTCGTTAGCGCAACGCCATGCCGCTCCCGTCACCCGCAATCGTCATCACTAAGACCAAGGGATGACCATAGACGGCAAACAACGCGCTGCCAACCGCCACAGAAACTCGAGATAGACCCACCATTATATGCAAAGCCTTACATGATGGCTGCCGCTGCTCCCGAATCCGCCGACGTGACTGGCGCACGTAAACTGCCCACAGCCGAGGAGTTGTCGGAAGCGCTCAAAGTTGATGTATACGATCGCGAAGGCAAGACAAAGACGTTAGGTGAACTGGTCAAAGGTCAGAGGACTGTATTGGTGTTCACTCGGCATTTCTGTGAGTGCTGTTCAATCGCAGGGTTCATGTGCAACGCTCGCATCATCTCGATTAGAAGGGTAGTGGAAGACCAGGATGCGTAAAGGATTCTAACATCGACAGGGTGCTTGAACTGCCAAGCGTATGTCCGCTGCATTAGCGAGTCTATACCGCCATCGAACCTCCCTTCCAATACGCAGAGTAAGCATCAGCCGTGCGAAGTTGTGACACACACATCTAACAAACAGTATCCAGTTCTCATCATAGGATGCGGCTCCTACCAGCCCATCGACACTTATGCTGCCAACTCTTCTTCCAAATACCCCATCTACACTGATCCAAGCCTTCGGCTGCACAAGCTCTTCCAGTTCAAATCCAATTTGGCTGAGGGCAAGGCCGGTGATGAACAGCGAGATTACATGCGTAACGCAGGCAGCACGATGTCAAGAATCTTCGGCGGCATCAAGGGCGCGTTGGGAAACCTGCAGCATGTGAACTCTGTGGGACCAAAGGCATTGAATGGTGGTGAGGTGGTTTTATCGGCTGGTAAGTTGTCAGATTTCGATCACTCCTTTGGCGGTTACAATGCTAACGGAGAGGATGTATAGATGGCGAATGCGAGTACATGTACCGCATGCAAAACACGGTTGATCACACCAATATCTCAGAGCTGGCGAAGCTGATTGGAGCCGAGTATACGCCAGTGGAGGGCGAACAGAAGACAGCGCAAACTTGTGATAATCCAGCTGTGGAGGCGAAGTAGATACGAATAATGAGCGACTTTATATTGGCATACCTCCTACGATCAACTGTGTCCAGCCTTCGCTGCTTTAACCGCCAATTTGTACTCCAGCATACATACATGGATGATTAATCACGTAGCAAAGCCAGAGTCTGCTTAGCAACATCAGATAGACGGCCCGACGCATTGCGACTACGCAAAGGCATGCCTCGGCTACCACCTGTTGCTCCCTCTTCTTGTATAACAGTCTCCAAAGCCTGCAAAGGTGTATGGCCCCTTGCATTCCCGACAGAGCAAAGATCGGGGCAGCGAGCAATGATCCAGGCGGTACACTCCGGCTTCATTGCGGTCGCGACAATATGTAGAATTGTGTTTCCGAAGATGAGTTGGCGCCATTTGGGGTCATTAGTGCCGATGTTGTCGTACTCGAGTTCCAGATGAGCAGCGCAGAATAGATCGTCTGGCATCATGATAGCTGCTTGGAGAAAGCCCATCAGCTCTGGAGTCATACGGGGTGGCTGTGAGGGCTCGGGGGTGGAGTCGTTGGCTGCAGCCGAGGAACGAGAGGAACGATCTTCGTCCGGCGAGAGAGCATAGTATTCGCTACCGTAAACGCATCGGAAACCCAGGGCGATGAGGGCATCCGAAGACAAGACGCTCATAGGGGCAGCGAGTGTGAACAAAGACTCGCCAACCCGTGCTTTGATGATCTTGATTGTGTCTTGCAGCATTGACTCCGTAAGAGTGCCTCCCTGGACCATATAATGGATCTCCTTCCCATCGAGCAGAAGAAGACGTCCATCGTCGAGCTTGGAGCTCCATGCTCCAGCTCCCTTTTTGGCACAATATTCCTTGTGTCGGTTTCTCAAAAGACCATGTTCATCGAACAGGCCAACGAGCTGTTGTACGGTGGGGTTCTCATGCTTCTTGAGTTGTTCATAGAAATCGGTGGCTTTGGTGCGGTCGATAAGAAAGATGTTGGGAAGATCGATACCAGAGAGTTCGTCGTCATCATGCACAGTGATGATGCACGAGACAGTCTCGATCCAATTCTGACCTTGAGTAGTCGTTAGTAAAGACCTTTGAGGATGTTCTGGGCTGGTGGCAGGTGTCGAGAACTGAACTTCGGTAAAACCGAGAGAGTCTGATGAAGTCCTCGACCACACCCAGCAATCGATCGTTAGAAACAATATTCGCAGAATCCATTAAATTCGTAGGAGTTTCATCGGATAAGTTCAATGAAAATATTGTGGGCGATTTTGGCCATTGGTGCAGCCCCTGTGCACCACTGCCCAAGCTTTTATAGGACGTGGTGGAGGTACGTCGTCGCTGCCAAAGCTGAAGAGACTGAACTTACCAGAGGCGCCGTGCTCGAACTTGACATCGATCTGGCATTCATCAGTAACATGAGAAGAAGCTTCGTTGGAAGACATGATCGTTTTCTTGAGGTTATTGGACGGCTGGGAGTGGTAGAGGAAGCAAGAGGTTGGACGAAGAAGGTGGAAAGGAGGCAGCGAAAGGGGAAGAGACGGGCGAACCCTTATCGACCCCGCACGAATGAGCTTACCTAGGAGCGCCTAGGTTCACAATGCGACGTGTCATTCTCGGTACTTTTGCGCGCTCGACCAGACCGGGAGTCACGCTTCAGTGGCTCAGCGTCAAGCAGGACCGGACCTGAAGCTGGCTCACGCATGAATACAACGTATTAAGACATACTCGAAGGATACTTGAGAGCCTCTCAGAAGTAAGAAAGGCCTTGTTGACGGACTGGCCATCATTTCCACCTCCCGGTTCACCACTGACGCGCAGCCAAGACAGGCCCGCCACCGACCGTACCTAACTACAACGAGTCCACGGCCAACAATAATCCAACATTATTGCTCAACTAACTCCAGCTACAGCAGAAATAGGTACGTACGAGGTCGTTCCGATCATCTTGAACGATTTCAATGCATGCGTTTCGGACAAGTGTTTTGGTTTATTCTTCAGCATAGCATCCTTGCTCACACCTTCCGTACTGAAACAGACCGAATCGATCAGCTTGCCTAAAAATACCGATCTAATTTCTCTTCGAGTGCGCGCACCGAAGCCAAACAATATTGTCATTTAGGCAGGTATCATAAGAAGAACCTAATAGTATGCATACACAAGAACAGGCAAAAGCAGTGTGGAATTCAGTAAAACAAAATACATTGACAAATTCATGGGTATATCTCTATCTAACATATCAGTAATCTATAGGAAATCATTACTCAAGTCCCGCATCTATATCTCCAGCCCACCAGCAAACGGATCTCTCGCATCACTCCTCATCTTCGCAACCTCTTCATGCTCCCTCCTCAACGCCCTCCAGTCAAACTTCTCAAACGCAAAACTCCACGTCTTCTCCGCCACACTCAACATCCACTTGCTCATCGGACCAACATCGTCACCGTGAAAGCTCTTCCTTCCCACATGTTGGACCAGACTGGGTGTGACTGCATATCTCAGCTCGTTGCGTTCGTTGGCAAAGTCCTCTGTTATGACGTCCATGTATCCGAGATGGCGTTCTTTGAAGTATTCGACCAGTTCGCCGGCTTTGACGTTGGGGAAGACGAAGGCTTGACTGCAGCAGGCGAAGCGCGGCATCTCGTGGACGCCGACGGCCATGGGCTGGACGGTGATGCGGCCGAGGCCGAAGTATATAAGGATGAGGAGGGCGAGTGTGGTGTACATGGCGAAGAAGGTGCGGCGGGTCATGAGGGCGAGGGTGAGTTTGGTGGTGGGTTGTGCGAAGCGGAGGAAGAGGATGACGACCGTGGGTACGAGGGCCACGTAGACTGAGTTCTTCAAGTACGTCTTCCACTCCTCGGCGTTCCAGCCGAGGAACTCTTCGGTGTAGAAGAGGCGTAGGTAGAGGAAGTCGGGTTTTGCGCGCTGTAAGGCGGCTTGTTGCTCGGCTTCGTGGATGGCGCTGAGGGTACGGTGATACCAGCCATCCATGGCCACTGTGTCGTCTTCGAAAAGAGCAACATAGGGTGTATATTGTTCCGTACATTTGTTCAACAGGTATTGGTAGTCGAACAACCCCTTCTCGATATAGTTGTTTCGTGCCTCCATTATCCGAATGTACTGCATGCGGTCGTAGCCGTATCCGTAGGTCAAGACCTCGTCGGCAAGACCAGATAGCCACTCCTCGTTGTACGCAGGGTGTGCCCCGGGGTTCGAGTGGGGTATGAAGACGATGAGGTATATCTCCTGTCGCTCTTCAGGCGTGAGGCCTTCCAGTAACGAGCCCACAGCATCTGGTAGATACTGAGCGCCGTCGCGCTGGTATGAAGATATGCCCACACATAACTTCCGCTGCTTTTCGGGGCCGGCCTTGGTTACGTTTGCGGGGTTGTAGGACTCGACGAAGGACTCGGCCTGCTGGCGTCTGACGGCGGAATAGCGGGGGGCATAGCCTTTGCGTGGGTTGAAGAAGATGGAGGTAGGATCGCGTGCGGATATCGAGTTGATAGTATAGAAGAAGCTAACGGCGACGAAGACGGCGATGCCTATGACCAGGCGGGAAGGCGAGAAGTGCATAATGTGCGACTAGACTGTAAACGAGTGTGAAAATGCTCCAAGGGTATTATCGCATCGCTAATCGAAGGGTGGAAGTGGAAACGAAAGCAACGCCGGAAGGCAGGTCATGTCATCGTCAGTGGCAGTGTCGTGGTTGACAAACAAGAAAAGGTGGAGGGAGAAAAAAAGATAGGAGCGACGACGCGCGCTCAAGATGAGGCGGGCTTGAGCGGCCTGAGCTGAGCTCCACCAAAACGGCGGATCTTGCCTTACGAGGATCTGCCGTAGCTGACCAGTGACCAGTAACCAGTAACCAGGAAGATAAAATTAGCAGACCAGCATGCGTGTGGGTCGGTGCGTGGTACTCAGGGCGATGACGGGGCGCGCAAGATTGCCATGCCTGTAGTCGCGATCACGAGAAATGAAGCCCATTAATGCCGAGTCAATAGGGGGAATCCGTGATCAAAAAGTATGGAAGATTCCATGCAACCTCGGTGGTTTCGGCGGTATCAGCGAATGAGGCCGTGAGCGACAACCACGGTGTCAGCTTCTGCTCTTCGTTTGTGAGGATAGGAGAAGGAGAGAGATAAAAGGGTGAGGAGCGACGGTCTGGACAGAACTATGTGCTTCCCGCGTGTTTAGCGTGACTGTTGACAGTGACAGCGACTTGACAGACGGTGGCAACTCCGCCTCCCCCGTGCCAATTTGGAGAAGTTTCCAAGGCTGGCTACACCGTACGGTTGGTTTTGCAATCACGATTAGATTGGCGAGGGCCTATATGATCGCTCGGTTCCTTCCCACCATCTAGCATACGGGACGAACGTTCCTTCCGACAGTTAACGGGTCAAAATCAATAGTCGCTCCAACACGTGCGCAGGCGTGTTGGCGCGCGCCACAGCCGAAGTGGCGCGATGACGAGCCCAGAACATGGCCGCATCTGATGGCATCTGCGCATGCATCGCATTGAGTCACCATCCCATCGTCGCTGCTTTATCAACATTCTTGCAGGGCTTGTCGCACTCAGCCCTTTCTTTGATCCAGTCATAGTCGTTTGACTCACCTGCCTTGATCCCCGCTTACCCTGGAGTCACTCATATAGCGTACCAGTGCCAGCACCAGGCAGCTTCCGGCTCCACGCGCAGCAGCAGCAACCGTCGTCGGTGCCATGCCCAAGAAGCACACGCCCTCGTACACAACAGCAAAACCATCTTACGTTCACCCTTCGCTACAGAGTTCGCGCTCCCCCGCATCCTCGTCCTCGTCGTCTGAACCTCAAACCGTCAACCAGCGCATCCAGCAGCTGCGTCGCGAACAAGCTCCAAGAGCAACGCCCGAACAGCGCGATGAGCTCACTTCGGTAGTAAGCAGTCGTACCGTCCCGCCAGAGCTGCGGCGCATTCTGCACATACCCGAAGTTAATGCTCCCAAACCAAAGGCGAACACACGCACGCGGAGGGTCATGGGTGGTGTGAGACCCCCACCAGGCCCCGCGGCGCCTACAAGCTGGTTGCAGACGAGTCGGCATGCGCCAGCGTACGCGAGGAAGAAGAAGGCCGATTCAGAGAAGGGCGCCGTGAGGTTTGCCACGCTGGCTAGGGTCACAAACGAGGAATTGAAGGTACGATGCTCCCCAGCGCGTCACCTCAGTCGATGGGAAAATTGAACACCGTGGAGCCTACATTGGCGTAGGAGGATCCAGTCTTGAATGTCTTGCGTCAGTGTAGGCTCCTAGGTATTCAGTTTCTTTGTCCTGAGAGGTGGCGTGCTAGCACATCTAGTCTTCCAGGCTTAACAATTCAGGCTTCTTACTCATGACAGCGCCTACCACCGCCGCGAAGCCTCGTCCACCAATGTCTCCGGACATTCGCGCAGCATTGGGAGGAACTCTCCGAGTACGAACAACACTACATTCCATCACTACCGATATCGCTAAAAGAAGCGCTACTGAGCTATCTCACACTATATGGGCAGGGAGGTCTGGACTTCAAGTCGCTCAAGATCCTGTTCCAGGATGAAGAGGGGACCGGTACAGCGGGCTGGGAGGAAGTGCAATTCCTCGACCTCAGCGGACTCTTGAGCGAACGCTTCAAGATCACCGATCTAGGAAAATGCGTCAAGCGTCCCGTTTCCAGTGCTATAACAACTGTAGACCTCGCTTCGCTCCGCGTAACGGACGACGTCGCCGACTCCTGGGAAGAGGAAATACAAGAAAGTCCAACGGCACCCTTGGTACCAGCAATGAAGCTCCAAATGCCCTACTTCAGCAACCTGAGCCGGCTTTCCCTTGCGAAACCTGGGCAATGGGCTTCATGGCCTGACTTACTGCGTATCTCGCCCAACCTCAACAAGATCACACACCTTTCGCTCGCGCACTGGCCACGGCCTTCGATGACACCAAACGCAAACACCACATCTATGATCTCAAAGCACACGAGCGTATCACTGGGCGGGTCGCACTTCTACTCCGACCTCGATGACGACTGGCACGAAGCCACCAACATCCTCCGCCGATTCTCAAAAGACACATACTCGCTGCAATGGCTAGACCTAGAAGGCTGCAACTGGCTCAAAGCCCTCACATCGCACCCCGGTCGCACGCCAACAGACATAAACGGAAACACAGAAGAATGGAGCACGCAGAACGGTATCCCAGGCCCAGACTGGAATGATGCCTGGCGCCGCATAACATATATCAACTTTTTCCAAGGCTGGATCCCAAGCGACAATCAGAGTCTGCAGAATATGCCCGCAGGTATCGTGCCTGTGCAATTACTCCGCTGGCTTAGAGACAACAGGGACAAAGAAGCCTGGCGTTTGAACCCGAACGAGACGGGCCATGCGGTGGCGGAGTGGGTGAACAGAGAGAAAGTGGCCAGGCTGGTAGGGA